AGGATGGGTCAGCTGGAAATGAGAATAGGAAGGAAAGATGGAGAGAAAGAGAGAGGAGTCAATTCAGTCTTAAACTCTCTCCATGGTTTAAATAAATAAGACTTTGAAACCTGTGGAACAGTGAGCCTAATTTAAACCAGGCATGGAAGTCCTTATCGTTTGGAGTGTATTATTTTGTTGACTTTTTAAAAAATATTTCCCAGCCTTCAATGGCAGATCATTCTGGCTGATTTGAAGAACTGACTTATACCTAAAAGTTGCTGAGGGTACCCAGCACAAAGGTGAGCACCCTGGTGATGAATCAGAGCCTCCAGTTTTGTTCCTGAAAGAAACTATATTGGGAATATTTATCAACTTCTTGACTGTTCTAGAATGATACTGATAAAAAAGTCTGATAAAAGTTCTCTGAGACAAGAGATATCAGGAAAGTTAGCGTTCGCTACCAAGTTTTGAGGTAAAGAATTTGTTGAGAGCACAGTAATAATATTTGAGTTTTAATGTTAAAGAAATGTGAAAAATCAAACAACTCAAAATTACATTTACTGTATGACTCAATACAAGAAGAAGAAGAAGAGAAGAAAATCTCTTTTGCAAAAGTAACAGAGGCAGAACGGCTGGTTTTCAGATTCAGGCAGTAAAGAGTTCAGAAATACTTCACTGCCTATCTTAGGTTGCACTGATACTCCATTATTAACTGCCCCGACTGACCTTCTTGCTTTAGGTTTCTTATAAGCAAAATGCCTAGTCTCTGGCACCACTTCCCAAAAGGAGATGTGATTTCTGGGACATGTTCCACCGAGTTTGCTGGGGGATCAGAGTGTGAGTGTGGACATCATACCTGTTTGGAGCTCTGTGTGATTACAAATTACTTTCTGTGTCTGATATGAAATGGGTCAGCAAAGTCCCCAGAGCAGCAAAGACACAGGGGAGCGAAGTCTGCTCTGTGTTTCTTATGCAGTACCCAGCCACCTAAATTTTCATCGCCTTGGTGTTTGAGGTAATGGTTCAAATTCATAAGTCTCTGGGGATGCAAACCGATTGGTTTTGAAGTTGTTTGCCTGAGGCCTAAATAATTTCTTGCAGGATTAGAGAAGATGCCTTTGGTGTCAGAGGGAATGCTCTCAACACTCTTGAAAGTTACAGCACTTGCTTAGCTTTCTAGGTTGGGATTTGGGTGATATACCCATTGCTCCACCTAAGGGAGTTTTACTGGTTCAGGTATTAATAACCTGAGGTGTTTGCATACATATCAAACTAGAAAATTGAAAGTCATGCTCAGCCACGTGCCTGTGCTATTCTGGCATACTAGTATAGGTTAGCTAGTATAACCAGTCAAGTAAGGACTCCAGGACCACTTGGTGGTTTCAAGAACAATGTAACTTTACCTTTAAGAATAATCAGAAGGACAACATCATTTTGCGATACAATGCATTTTCATTTGTTCTTTTTCCTTTTTGGTTTGATGATTATTTTGATGTCCTCTGAAACAGCACACAGTGTTCTTGACTCATCTGTTTTGGAGGGAATGCAGACAAGTGCCCTATCCCATGCTACAGGGAACAGCTGACTAGTGACTAGTAACGTAAATTGGCAATTTTGCTTGTTACAGCAGTACGGGTATTACAAGCTTTGCAAGATTACGGGGCAGATAAGATATTTCTAGAACTGCAGCCTAATATTTCCGCAGATGCAGCATGCTGTGCTGTCCTATGTGCAGTACAGCTTAAAATCATTATCTTGAGGGTTTGAGGGTTTGGGTTTTGGATAAAGATTCCATAAACGTTTTTACAGAATAATAATACAGCTGAAAATCTAGTGTTTGGGCAAGCTTGCTTTTGACTTTCTCATCCCTTTCAATCTAATGCAAAAGTTAATTTTTTTTACTTGAGCTGGATAGAAAGATATCCTAACATTTCCCCATCTAGCCGAACTTCTGAATGAATTGACTTCCTGTTAATGCTGGAGCAGCTGAGCTTAATTTATCATGAATGTTAATGAAAAACACTTCAGAAAGTCTTATGTGTTCCTGTTGCATCCAGATTTCATCATTTGTTCCTACAGTTGTGAGCACTGGAGGTATTTGTGTGTTCGTCAAAGTAGGAAACAGGAGATGGGAACAGGCAACGCGTGCCCAAGCTCAGCGAGTGAGGGCGGCTCGGTGGAGGAGCTGTGCGTATCTCCTACGCGCAGGAAACATCTTGAGGAGGGAAAGTCTCACCAAAAACATATCAGATCGTATTGCAGAAGCGTTTTAGCTGTGACACTGTCAGATGTAAAAGCCCTGGTTAAAGTGTTCAGAGATAATTTATCTTTTTTTTTTAGGCTTTTCTACCTGGTCATTAAAAGTTGTTCTCCCTCCCCACAAACCTTTCCTAAAAGGATATTTGAGAAAAGCATAATCTGTTTACAGAGTATTTTTTTTCAGGAGGAAGAGGCTTTCAGCTTGCAAATAATATGCTAGAAGCAGATTTTGTCCTTTCTTTGTTGAGTTTTCATATTTTGGGTGGAGACAGATGTTAAAGCTGTGTGATTCCTAAACAGGCAATGAATAAAATAATTGCCACAGATTTTTGTAATCCAACTAGATATTCATTACTTACATAATTACACCTAGCCTTTGTTAATTTCTATATTTATAAGTATATGCTACGTATGTGGGCTTATATTTGTTTCTGCATTTGGGTTTACTTCTGCTTCTGTCCAGTAACACAAGTGCTGAAATGAAAAAAAAGACACTGTTGTCTGGTATTTCTGATCTCAGCATACAGAGTGAGTCCTGAGAATCAGCTAAAAGATTTGGTTTGTGGTTTTTTTTTCCAATTATTAAAACATTGAAAGTAGTATTAAGACCAAACTATATTACTGATTCCTTTGTTCACTTCCCCTCCAGTCCTCAGATGCACTTGGGGCGATAAGAGCTAGTTGTATGGAGTAAAACAAAAAGGATACCATTTTAGCTACACTTTTATTTTATTTCAATTACAAATTTAAACTGTCAGAATGTGTAGTAAGGAGACTATAACAGGAAAAACTGTTTTTGTTATAATAACCTGTTTTTTGATCAAAGTAGTCCCACTTTTTGTTGAGTATGCACAAAGAGATTTTCAGCTGTATGAACTTTTTGTTTCAGCTACGTCTTAGGCAAGTCACCATTCATGAATTGCAGCATAAATTACATCAAATGGGTTTTTCTCCTTAATTTAATTGATGGCAATAATTTTAAGACACTGCACATTCCTAAACACAAATAAGACATAACTTCTTTTCATGTAAAGTTGGTCAGAATATGAAGAGATGTGTGCACACTGATTCTGACTATTCACCCATCTTTATGGGTGAATAAATATTGAATGCATAAAGGCAATTAATAACGTCAAATATATTTTCTTTGTGAGGCCGTAAAGGCTTAGAAACTGAAGATTTCCAAAGCTAGCTCAACCAATTGCAGGTGAAATAGATATGAAATACTTTCAGCTAAGATTTTTCATTAGATTTCTTGAACTGTACTATCTATTCCTCTATTAAATGCAGCAAAACTTGTAACTGGAAGTTCAGTACTCGTCTACATAAGACGTCTGCTTTTTACAGGTATTTCTAGTGAGGAAGATCAAAGGATCTGATGCAGGTCAGCTTTATGCCATGAAGGTACTTAAGAAGGCAACTCTGAAAGGTAAGGATTGGGACAGTGGCTGCAGTCTCTATTTCTATGCTACTTTGTCATTTACTTTCTTCCCATTTTTTGCGTTCCTGCTGTCTTACGGTATAAAAGAGTGTACAAATATGTTTCTGCCAACCTCCAAAATTCCACCTTGCTGTAGTGAATGTTCTAAAAAAACATACACAAAAAATGTTACCTATACAGTGTGGGAGCAGGAAAACAGAGCTTCGGACTTTACCAGCTGCATGCTTTCTTCACTTTCTTGGTGTTAGCTATAGGACTTCTGTTGGGCATGTATTTGTATCACAGTGGCAGTATCTTTCTGTTGCTGAAGTAAACTGAAGTTAGCATTTTTAAATAAGGATATTGCTGAATTAAAACATGGCTCCGACTGGGCAGAAAGGCCATCCAGCTGGTGCTTCTCACTGTATGCCTGAAAATTCATGGGAGCATATTTTCAAGTGTGAGGAGTATTCCGAGGTAGTTGAGATCACACTGTTTCCTAGCTCGTGACCAGTCAGTGCATGGCCTGTAGTAGGCTGGGGCTGAATGACTGATGCTAAAGCTGGTCATCCTCTTCTGAGGCTACTGGCTGCTATAGCCTCACCCAGACAGAAAAAAAATTCTAGTGAAGCACAGGCGTGAAAAGCAGACTGAGCAAGTTCGGTCTCAGCTGAAGTTTTTACTATTTGTTCCTTCACAGAGTTAGGAAGATCCAGTCATCTCCTTGTTTCCCTGACCTAGCACTGTACTCTGTTTTTCCCCTCAAAAGCCTGACGCTTTTTGCAGATAAGGTAGACAGAGTTCATTTTACCCAGAGCAGTTCTTTCACTCTTTCTTGGACAATGTGGGTTTGCACAATGCAGTAGAGTGCCTAAATTTCTAGCCTAATGTGAAAAGAGATCGTTTTGAGATAGTTCTGATGACTTAAAAATCCAAATTGCTTTAGCATGCCTCAGTTTGGGGAACAAAAGAAGAATGAAGTTACCGGTAATTGCAAGGTAGAGTTACAGCAGACGGTGGCAGGCAGACACAGCACCTCCTCTGAGTACTAGTCAAAAGGGAGAAGTGGCAAACCAGGTATTTACACAGTCCTTTCCTCTAAGAAAGCCTTTTCAAAGAAACATTAGTTTGAAGCTCTGCTGGTGTGCTGATCTTTTTGTTTGGAACGTAGATGAGAAAGTTTGTTCTGGTAGGACCGCGTGGTATAAATAACCACTTAAATAGTACTGAGTGTAATACATAAAAAGTAAAAGATCAGGCCTGCGTACGTAATATGTATACTAGAGTAATTCTTTGACTTCTCAATCAAGAGCAGGACCATGAAGTGCCCAAAGTGAGCTCAACTCAACTCTTAGAGCCTTCCCCACTGGGGAAAGCCATCTCCTGCTGGGCACGGTGTCTGAGGAAGGACTGTGTGACTCCCAGAACTTTTCACCCAAGGTGAAAATTGGGTAGTCCCTCTTTTTCTATGTAACTCTGAGGTATGTTGAGCCCAAAGAGCTTTGGAGAGGGGGAGGGTTTCTTCTGCATCCCCAAACACATGATTGTTACTTAATATTTGATAGCTAAATCTGTAATGTTAAGATTCCACTGGGGGGGGGGAAATAATCTGTATTATGGCAGTATTTTAGGAAATCTCAACATTCAGATGGTGATTTTTAAACTACCCAAAGTGTTCCATCAAGTTTCTGTTCCATGGAGAACAGGCACCTCTGTGTTTGCAGTTCCTTGGTTTGTTATAGCACAGAACCACTGCTTCTCTCCTCCCTTGGCTGTGACAGCAGCCTGTTTACTGTTATCTCAAATGTGGGTCATAAGATCCAAAAGTTGAGGCTGCTCTGTGATCTTGCTGGATTGCATTTCTTTCCCATTCAGACTACTTATTCTTCTGACTGGGCTCTGGATTTCCCATTACTCTCAAGATAACTATCACATTGGTAGGAACTAATTTGTTCACGCTAGTTTCTACTAATAAGTTAAACTTGACAGCTGTTTAACTCCAAGTACAAAAATAAAAGCAAAACTCCATTGGCGCAGGGCAAGTGAGATGAGCAACAATGAGGATTGCTGTCAGCGAACTTCCATGTAACTTTTGGCACAGAGATAATATTTCTGACAGCTTAATTTCATCTGTAAGTGAGAGTGCTGAATTGTTGCTGTCTACCTACACTCAAAAAGACTGAAAGTCACTCTAATGTGAAGTATTTATTACCATGTCAAGTAATGGGAGCAAAGCTATAAGTACTTGTTAGCAGTGCATTCAGTATTTACCGACAAAAGGCATGCTACGAGACCAGTTTCTGAATGATTTTACTTCCTAACCTGTTGTCATGGTTTAACCCTATCCAGCAACTGAGCCCCACGTAGCCGCTTGCTCACTCGCCCCCAGTGGGATGGGGGAGAGAATTGGAAGAGTAGGAGTGAGAAAACTTGTGGTTTGAGATGAAGATGGTTTAATAGGGAAAGCAAAAACCATGCAGACAAGCAAAGAAAAATAAGGAATCCATTCCCCACTTCCCATGGGCAGGCAGGCGTTCAGCCATCTGCAGGAAAGCAGGGCTGCATCACACGTAACGGTTACTTGGGAAGACAAACGCCATCAAGCTGAATGTCCCCCCTTCTGTCGTCTTCCCCCAGCTCTATATGCTGACCATGATGTCATACGGTATGGGATACCCCTTGGGTCAGTTGGGGTCAGCTGTCCTGGCTGTGTCCCCTCCCAACTCCTTGTGCCCCCCCAGCCTCCGCTGGGGTGGGGTGAGAGGCAGAAAAGGCCTTGGCTCTGGGTGAGCCCTGCTTAGCGATAACGAAAGCATCCCTGAGTTATCAACACTGTTTTAATCATAAATCCAAACCACAGCCCTGTACCAGCTACTGTGAAGAAAATTAACTCTATCCCGGCCAAACCCAGCACGCCTGTGTCTGCACAGTACAGTATGGAGCAGGAAAGTCAAAGCTCTTGGTGCCAGTGCCATTGACATGGTCACACAGCCCTAAATATCATAACAGTTATTTTCTTTAGCCAAACAAATTTGCAAAACACACAAAATGGAAAAATGAGAAAGGAAAGGGGAGGGGGTAGCAAAACTGTTTGTTTTCTTTTCTGCATTAGTCTGAAGAATTAAAACCCAGATAAATAAGAACGTGAGGAAGTTAAATGCCTTCAGAAGTGATGAGTTAAACCTAAATTTGTACCTTGCTCT